TCATTCTGGAATGATGTGTGGGTTGGTCAATATCCCTTCAAACAGTTGTACCCGGTGATTTATAATTTGAACCAACAGAAGGAGGCAACAGTAGCAGATGTCAGGGACAACCAAGGATGGAACCTCTCTTTCAGGAGAATGTTGAATGACTGGAAGATTGGCAGCCTAACAGATTTCTACAATACTCTGGAGCAGGCCATCAACTTTCAACCTAATGAAGACAATCTACACTGGTTGAAGGCCAAAAATGGGAAAGTCACAGTAAAATCAGCTTACAGACACCTTGATAGGCCAGCTGCAATGCTCTTACCATGGCCTTGGAAGATGATATGGAAATTAAAGTACCTCACAAGGTGGCTTGTTTCACCTGGTTAGTAGCCAGACAAGCAGTACTAACTCAGGACAATCTAATGAAAAGGGGAAGACAATTATGTTCCAGATGTTTTTTTTGTGAAAGAGAAATAGAGACAACAAACCATCTCTTCATCCATTGTAGAGTGACAGAGAAACTGTGGCAGGTGTTTTTTAACTTAAGGGGTATCAGTTGGTCCATGCCAAGGCATACCTCCGAAGCTCTAACACGCTGGAATAGTGAAGGAAATTTGTCCGACCACAAAGAGAGATGGAAGATTGTCCCTGTTTGCATCTGGTGGACAATATGGAGGGAGAGGAACCAAAGATGTTTTGAAAACAAGAGCATCCCTTTCCAAAGTCTGAAGTTGAATTGTCTTATAACCTTTTTTTTTTGGTGTAACTATGTACTCCCCAAAAAGGTGGAGGATATTACTCAGTTTCTAGATAGTTTAGGAGGGATATAGGTGGTAGATTTCTTTGGTTTTGTTTACTGTAAATCCCAGATGTAACTACTACTAGAATACACTATTGGTGTATCTTGTCTATAAAATGTTAACTTTCTCAAAAAAAATAATCCCCCAAAGTACTATTCTCTAATGTAGACAAAACCCTTAAACCAAAACTCGAGATTTTACAAGAAATTGGGCTTTCTGGGACTGACTTATATAAGTTTATATTGGAGAATGATTTGTTTTTCAGCAATGTTTGGATACTTTTATTAGACCTTCCCTTGATTATCTTAGAAATTTGATGGGTAGTGACGAAAATGTTGTTAAGATTATAAAAAAGAGTTCTTGGTTACTTAGATGTCATGTTACCAAGACAATAGCACCTAATGTGTTGTTGTTACATGATATTGGGCTCTCAGATGAGAAAATTAGGAAGTTTATATTGCAGAACCCAAAGCGTATAACGTGGAATCTTGGATGTCTTAAAGGATGTTATTCATAGAGTGGAGAAAGACCTTGGAATCCCTCGTGAATCACGTACATTCTTCAATGGAATTGCTGCCATTGTTACGTTCCGTCAGTCAACTTTGGCAAAGAAGATTGATGTTTATAAAAGTTTTGGTTGGTCTGATGAACATATAAAAACCATGACCAGAAGTTATCCTTCTTGTTTGAGTTCCTCGGAGGTGAAAATATGTAAACAGTTAACTTTTCTCATGAATGAAGTTGGCTGCACATCATAGTATTTAGCATCTCATTCCCGCCTGCTAACGCATAGTTTAGAGAAGAGAGTGATTCCAAGATATAGGGTCCTGAAAATTTTAAATGAAAAACATCTCAAAAAAGGCGTGGGGTTATTCACTGCTGTTAGCATGATGCCATCAAAGTTTATGGAAGCAATTTTGCTGCCTTACAAGGATAAAATACCCATTGCATATGAAGCATACATGAAAAATGTCGGATGAAATAGATATTCTGAGTTTCCACTTGTTGAGGTAAACTATTTCTTTATGGCTGCTATCTAGTATTCTTATTCCGTTTTTGTTATTGCTGTAATTTTATTTTCTTGGTTCCTTTTTAAAATTAGGGACTATGTCACTGTTTGATTTGATGCTGTATTGCCATTATCTGATAGTGCAATTCGAAACGAAAAATTATTCTTTGTTGAAGCCATTGGTAAGTAAGGTAGGCCATTTATGAGTTTGATGTGTTGCTTTTGAAAATACCTGATAGTATGAATCAAATCGGGAAATTCCACCCAGGAACTGAAGATCCTTGTGTTTGAAAATGCCTGATAGTATGAATGTCATTTTACTTTTTGCAGTTGAGATATCGTATTGTTGCTTTTCGAATTATGTGAAGCATAAAAAGGACAGTTTGGTTCACTAAGCTCCTACTATGTGTGGGGTCGGGGGAAGGGCCAAACTATAGGGGTCCATTATCCGCAACCTTATTTGACATTTCTGCAAGAGGTTGTTTCATATCCCGAACCCATAACCTTCAAACAAGATTTTTCTTTTTATCTTTTTTTTTTTTTTTTATTTTTAATTTTTGTTTTTTTTTTTTTTTTTGGTTTCCCACCCGGTGTCTGGTACCCACATTGGATACCGGACACCTGGTGAGAAACCAAAATTTTTTTTGGTTGGGATTGCTGATTGTTGATTGTTGATTCTGTATAGATAATTGTGGCATGTAGTTAAAAGCTAAGCTTGTTTTAAACCATTCTTTCTGGCATGGTCAGATAAAACTAAAGATGCTAAGGAATCCCATAAGATTCATTTGTGATGAAAGATGCTACAACAACAACAACAAATTCAGTGTAATCCTACAATTGGGGTCTAGAGAGGGTAGCATATACGCAGACCTTAGCCCTATCCTTTGTGAGGTAGAGAGGTTGTATCGCTAGACTCAAAAGAGAAGTTCCATAAGTAGGGTATCAAGAAAATATGACAACAAAATAGCAAGATAACAAAGCAAAAGAAGCAACAAATAGTAATATACATTGAAGAGCATAATACTATGCTACTACTAAATTGCCCCCTAGCATTCCCACATGAAGTGCGATAACACTCGGGTACTTACTAGCCTTTTGCTCTAATCCTCAACCTCCAAACCTTCCTATCTACAGTCATGTACTCAATAAACTAAAGTTGTGTCATGTTCTATCTAATCACCTCCCCCGGTTCTTTTTCGGCCTATCTCTACCTCTCCTAACCCCTGTTATATCCAATCTCTCACACCTCCTTATTGGCACTCCGTGCCCCTCCTCTTCGCATGCCATACGATCTCAATTTAGCTTCCTTATCTTGTGCTCCGCCATTCTGACTTTGACTTATATGACTTCGTTTCTAATCATATCTCTCTTAGTATGTTCACACATCCATTTGAGCATTCTCATATCCGCTACCTTCATCTACTGTACATTTGCGTTCTTGACTGACAAATACTCTTCTCCATGCAAAAATGTTGGTCTAACCACCACTTTGTAGAACTTACCTTTAAGCCTTGACGGCATTTTCTTATCATCCGCTCCAATATGTGCGATATCATTGTCAATCTCCTCGTCTCCTTGGATTGTTGACCCAAGCTACTTGGAACTTCCTCTCTTGGGTATGACTTGTGCATTGATCTTCACTTCCACCTCCACCTTATGCGCTATGTTGCTGAACTTGCACTCCAAGTAATCTGTTTTAGTCCTGCTTAACCTGAAGCCTTTAGACTCTAGGACTTGTCTCCAAACATCCAGCCTATTGTTAACTTTCACAACTCATCAGATGAAACATGCTACATGAAAGAAGTATTGTGAGAAAAGGATGTCAGTTGTGCTATGCATAGTTGTGATTTAAAATCAGTGCGTAAAATAATGCAGGTTCTTCTATTACGTAGCAAATGCAAGTGACTTTGGGATGCAGAATCCCCTATGCTTCTTTTTGTTTTCTACTAAGCAGCATGTAGTTTGAAAATAAAACATGTGTTTCTTGCTTATGTTATCCTATTTCATTATCTCAGGACAAAGTATTAACTATTAACACTCTTCTGATCCTAAAATGTGTTTCCCGTTTCTTATCCATTTAGTTTAGGAGGCATCAACTAAGTTCATTAAGTCATGTTAATCTCTTATAGGGATCCAGCTAGGGCATTCACACCAAGGCTCATATTGAAAGCCACGGGAGGTTCCAAGTGAAGACCAAGATCCTTTGGAGAAATGAAGGTCCCGAGATGGACTGAAATTGGAACTTGCTGGACCAAATTTAGTACTGATTGTGACTGCTCAAGTATATTGATCGCCCAGACATGCACAGTTTGGCCAGATATTTTATGTTCCTCAATTGAAGGCACAACTCATGTATCCTCATGCACTTGCTTATGGTTTTGGCTTAGGAACGATTTGAGCTTATAGCTTCGGAATAAATGCAACCTTGTTGTTCTTGTTCAACACCTATGGTTGCGGCTGAAGTAGAGCCAAACTCCTTGTGTTAATCATTCTAACCTGTTGTAGTTTGAGTAATCTAGTAGGTTTCTTCTTATTTCACTTTGAATGGATTCCTTGAAAATATACTTTTTGCATTATTATCTCCTTTTGTATGGAGAAAATAAATTGTTTACCATATTGGAGGCCTTGTATAAGTTTCTTGTTTATCCAGCCCTATTCACTCCCCCACAAGCTGCTGCTCTCAACAAATCAGTTTTACTATCACTTGGACTGCAGGTAGATCAATTCTGTAACAAGAAAATAGCATCCAGAAAGATAAAATTGGCCAATGCTACACACTGGTATTTTACTCATCGAGATGCATGCAAGTTGGCTCGTAAATTAAAATTTAATTATGCCACATAAATTGAACATACAAAAACAACATACCTAGGGAACTATCACTAAGTGGGATTTGGGGCGGGCCTGAGTGTACGCAAATTTTACCACTATCTCCGTACCTCGTACAGGTATAAAGGTTGTTCCAAAAAATCATCAGCTCAAGTGCATCGAACCCAAGTAAAAAAAAGAAGAGAATGAAGAAATCATAATTGTTAATAAGAAAAGTACCGTCTAAAAGAGAGAAGCAAACAATAACAACAAAATAGTGTGGTAATTAAAAACACAATACACCACATACAACAAGAACTATAAAGGTATGAATAGTGCTACGACATGCATTAACAAGCCTAAAACTACGTTCGATCCGGCGTAGTAGTAATTAGTTTTTGTTTTATTGGAAAATGCAATACATTATTTGTGACCAAACGTCTTCTTTGTTAACGTCAAATCTCATTTACCAAATATGGGAGTTGGAATGTCGAATGATCATTTTAATTTGTAGTAATTTGGTTATCAAATTACTCAATTTTGCTTTTATCTATAAAAATTATACATAATTTATTATACTAATAAAAAAAAAAAAATCTTCCATCGTCAGAAATTGGCCCAAACCCGACCCAAATTCATCATCTTCTAGAGTTGTACTTTAAACAGTAGTAAAATTGAGAAGTTATACCTAATTTTAATCCCAAAAATAATACTCGTTGAAAGTTGAAATCCAATAATGCTTAGAGCTTAAGGAAGCTGCTTGTTGTCGTAGACATTGAAAGCTTTGTCCGCGTTCCATTTGTCTTTATATGCATAGCGGAGCAGGTTCACTTTCTGTGCTTTCCACAAAAACACATATTTTCTTAACTACTTCGTCATCAGTTTTGATCTTTGATCTCTTTTTCTTTTCTTTTTTTGAAAAATAAAAAGGTATTCTTTGCTTTAATCTGAAATACTACCAAGTTTGATTAATTATTTTGTGGTTTTAGGTAAGTGATAATTCATAAGGTTTTACTGCAAGAATTTTAAAGGGTACACGGATATTGAAGATCTGAATCAAGTCTATAATGGATTCTTTCTTCAGCAAAGGTTTCAAAGCTGCCAAATGGTAATCCTCAATTTCCCACTTTCCTGTCTTTTATTGAAGGTTCTTGTCAGATTTTATGATTTGGATCTTTTTAGTTAAGGGTTCTTATGATGCAGATTTGAAATTTTGTATTGTTGAAATCATGGGGTTTCGAATTTTTCAAATTTTTGAGAAAAATGTTGTCTTTTTTATATGGGAATTTGCTGATGGTACCTATCAATTTGCAGTAAAACCATGTTGAAATTGACAATTCCTCGGATCAAACTACTGAGGAATCGTAGGGAGTTTCAGCTGAAGCAGATGAGGAAAGAAATAGCTAAGCTACTAGAGACTGGTCAGGAAGCTACTGCTCGAATTCGGGTATAAACTGACTCTTATTTTGCTTAAATTCATCGATTCATGCTGATATAATTTGTGCTAGGCTGTGTGTTCTTCGCATTTGAATACTGAAAGGTTATTATGTATTTTGATAGATGGTTTTACAGAGTAATGAGCTTGACTGTGATGTTTGCTTGTTTAGGTAGAGCATATCATAAGAGAAGAGAAAATGATGGCAGCGCAGGAGATTGTTGAGCTATTCTGCGAGCTTATATCGGTTCGTCTTCCAATTATTGAAGCACAAAGGTAATGAGTTATCTGTTGTGTTAATGTTCTTGATATTCTATATGGTGTGAACATTTACAGTATCCTAAGATGGTTCTTCAGTTTATTGATGAGCAACTGAATATGCTTTTAGTTGCTCTTAGGATAAAGAATGTATGGGGCGAATGGCAAAGAATATAAAAGGGTTCCTTTATGATGCATTAGATGATCACCTATGATGTTTTGGCGAAGTGCCTATAGAACAGCAAGTTTTTGGTTTTCGTGGTTATATGATTTTTTTGACACCGTTGGCAGATGTAAATCCCAGCTGTAAGGTTGGCCTACTTGTAGAATTGCCTTTTAGCTTATTTTTCTTCTTCCGTTTTCATAAGTAAAGTATATTGTCATCTTGTGTAGTTATGCTGGTCATATGTATCTTTATAGCTGTATTGTGCTCTAAAACAATAGCTCCATTTAACTTTACTCTAGCTGCAATAAGTCAATAAACTGGGTTACACCTGATATAGACTAGGATAGTCAGCTGAATGAGGTTTAATAATTATAAAAAGGCAGAAATGCTAGAGACCTCCCGATCTTGTAGCTTTATATTTAGTGAATACCTAAACTATCACTCATATGAAATATCCCTGGAACTTGTTTTTTAACCGTCGCATACACCAGTTTAATAATAATAAAAAGGCAGAAATGCTAGAGACCCCCCGACCTTGTAGCTTTTTATTCAGTGAATACCTAAACTATCACTCATATGAAATACCCCCGGAACTTGTTTTTTCAACCGTCGCATACACCTACAACGTCCACCTGGCATAGAAACTGACAACAAGCTCAGCTAGGTGCGTGAGGGAGTAAATTTTTTGCCGCATCATATTACTTCAATGGTGAAAAACATTAAAAATTCTTGTTTCTCTTTATTTTTTTCCTTTTTTGCACAGCATCTCTCTTCATTCTCTTCCTATTTATTCTCCCTAAACCCTTCTTCTCCATCACTTTCAATTTTCTGAAATACCTATCTTTGCCATCATTTTCTTTCTTTGCCTATAATTTATCTCTCCTCCGTCTTTCTAAAGTTGCAATTGATGAATCCATGAATTATAATAGGATGCTTGTTTGTGCATGTGGGTGTCCTCCGATTGTGAGAATTTCATGGTCATATGACTACCCCGGACGTAATTGGATTGTAACTGACCAAGGCTATTCGAGGAAAAACAAACAAAAATACATTTTAAGAATGGATAATCACTTACTTGATAAGAATTTCAGACAAGATCGGAGAAAAATCCACTCAAATAAAAAGCTTCACCCAAATGGACTGTACTATTTGAGGAGAAAACATTCAAATAGCAGAGCCAGAAATGTTCAAAATCTACCCTTAACTCCGACTGTTAAACTTCTTAGGATTTGATTATTTAGAGAGTATTTGTGTGAAAGAGAAGATCGGGTAATTAGGGTTGATTTGTGTGAATTGGGGGATTATATAAAAAGCTTTTGAAAAAGGGTAAATATTAGAGAGGGTGGGGGCATTATTTATCTACATGGACATCCACATTTGTCATATTTTCACCGTGTCACGTGCGTGTATACACGGTTGAGGGATCTAAACGTCGTAGGTGTACGCTACGGTTGAAAAAACAAATTCCAGGGGTATTTAATACGAGTGATAGTTTAGGTGCTCACTAACTAAAAAGCTACAAGTCGGGGGTGGGGTGGGGTGGGGGGGGGGTTCTTTGGCATTTTTTTTCCTAATAAAAATAGTATAGGATACCAAGCTAGGGTTTGGCTATAGATTTCCAAATATTTTTGGCAAATATTATTTGGGTGAAATTTCACCATGTGTTTGGCCATAATCTTTTGGAAACATATTTCACTTTTTTAGAAAAAATATGATTTATACCCATAAGTTTTAAAAACTATCAAAACTAACCATAAGTTTGTATTATAAGTCAGTTGGATCTTCGTTGCAACGAATAACAAGTAGTGTCCATGACACTGGAGCAATGTGGTGTGTGGAGTGAGTGCAACAAGCATCATTCTATACATCGTGAAGTAGACAAAGCACATGACTTTGGTACCCTGGACCGTTTGTTCATCATTTTCATCAACAACCATATCATCACTTTCATATTTCATCACTACTTTGGTTCACGTAAAAAAATTATGTAATACAACGCAAACAACTACTATAGAGGGAGTTTTTGTAAAAGATAAAAGTTTGGTGTAAAATTTCAATTTTTAAAAGATCCCAAATAATGAGATTTGGCTCAAATACTAGAAAAAACTAGTATTTGGGAATTTGGGATATTTGCCAAATAATGGCAAATTGTATGGACAAACACTATTTGCCAAATTTACCCCCAAATATTACTTGGGAAATCTATGGCCAAACGGGTCCCAAATGTTCCTCTCTGTCTTCCTTGCTTGCCTCTTGCCTTTGCTGTCTATGCTGCTGTTAACATTTAGTTCCATATCTCCTTCAATACCAAACTTTCAGATCTACTATACTCCACCCTAGCTGTTGTTTGCGAGAATTATCTGCCCTAGATATGGATACTTTTTCATGGAGCGACTCTAGTTCAATTAATGAATCACAGTCCTTTAATTTGCTAAATTTCATGCATTCTGAAAAAAAGTTACCAACTTTGAAATGTCTAGGTTGTAGGTCAATTAAATGGAAGTATGTGCATGTATCCGAGCAGCAGCATGTTTGATCCTTTTGCATAAAGTCAATTTTAGCCAAACAAGGATTAACTACGTTAACTTTCTGCTTATATGACCGAGAAGTATCTAGGGCATAGAATGAACAATACATTCTTGCTTGTGTTATGGGAGTGTGAAACCTTAAAATAATTTGATCATCTACATGAGACCATAAATGTGGATCTCTAGTTCCAAGATGGACCCAAAGCGCTTCATCTTCGATATTTGTTTTAAAGCAAACTGATACTCTTGAACTTGACTGTCCTGCAATGTGGAGGTTTTGTTTCCAAGTCTTAATATTCTAGACTTCTAGTTGAATTTTGTTGATAATTTTCTTAACTTGAATTTTTGGAAAGAGCTGAACCCCCAAACTCTATAATGTCCAGGGAATGCCCTCTAGATCTGAAAGAAGCTATTTCAAGTGTTTGTTTTGCTGCACCAAGATGTGCAGATCTTCCGGAATTGCTGCAGGTTCAGATGATGTTTGCTGGTAAATATGGGAAGGAATTCATTGCTGCTGCTACAGAGCTCATGCCAGAATGCGGAGTCAATCGCCAGGTTACCTTAGTTCTCCTTTATGCCATAGCTAAACGAGAAAGAGGAACTGTTTCTTGTTTCTGATTTTTCTCTCTTTTTTCTTGTCTCTGACAGTTGATAGAGTTGCTGTCTATTCGAGCTCCTGCTCCTGATGTGAAAATGAAGCTGCTAAAGGAAATTGCGGAGGAGCATCAGCTAGATTGGGATCCAAGTGCTTCTGAAACTGAGCTGTTGAAGTCACATGAGGACTTGCTGGTATATTTCAGTCTGTACTGGCTTTGATTTTGTCCTCTTTTCAATCATCATGATTTCTTCCCTTTGCTTTGCAGAATGGGCCCACACAATTTGTCAGTGGGGCTAAGGTGCCACTTCCCAAAGAAAGGTTGGATGAGGTGCAGCACTCTGCATCAGATCAAGTCTTTGATAAACAAACGGAATCTGAGGCTGATTTTGACTTAGATTTTCCAGAAGTCCCTAAGCAGCCACTACGACCTAGCACCGGTGGAGTTTCTGCCCCTGAAATGCTTCCTTTCCCAGCCTCTGCACTATCTGACTCCGATGAGGAGGTAGCTAAGTCTTCTGAAGACGGTGAGCTCAAATCTCACAAACAAGATGTGGAGCGAGATGAACTTTTGCAAGAGAAGGTAGTTTCAAAAGATTTTGGATCAGCTGATAGTTTATCTGCACCGGAAGAAGAGAAACAGTTTTTGCCATTCATGGTTCCCCCGCCAAAATCACCTCCATTCTCCTCAACAGAAAGAACCACAACCCAAAGTACTCAACCACCCTCTACTACAAAGACCAAAGTTGAGACTGATGTAGATTTGCAAGATGTATTGGCTGCTGCCCAAGCAGCTGCTGATTCAGCCGAACGTGCAGCTGCTGCTGCTCGCTCAGCAGCTAGCCTTGCTCAGGTTAGAATCAGCGAGCTTACCAGGAAAAGGAGCGAAGAGGTGCCTGTAAGCCCCAGTGAGAACCCCTTTTATGCTGAGAAACAAGAATCTCACATCCTAGAAAAGCCTCACTTAGACCTCCAACGCCAATCGTCAAACTCTGATGGTATCCCCAGCCCACTTCATGGCAGTCCATTGGAACATCAGGTGTCGAATATTCCTTCATACGATGATTCAACAGTGGGTGTTGAGTCTCCCATCTCCCATATTCATCATCCTGGTCAGGGTCTTCACCAACCACAGAGATTGCCTTCCATGGACGATGAAACATATTATTCATATCCAAACCTGTTTAATGCAACAAATGGCTCTAATCCTGGTTCTCGTTCACAGTCATTCAAAGATAATATCAGGTCCAGCCATGATAAGTGAAGTGTATTTCTCTACCTTCTGCAGGCTCTGGTTTGTTTGTTGATTGTGAGTTTTGAGATTCTTCTGTTTATTCTATTGCCCTTTGGTCTGTAGTACATTCGATGGATCCTTGTATGTTGAAGAGTATGCAGTTCAAAAAATTTGCATGTAAGAAATTTTCTTTGGAGTAAAAAATAATGACAGAAATGATCGAAAAGTATCACTGAGCAGATCTTGTACTTATATCAGAGCGTCTGGTACTAATCTGAATTGTCAGAAAGAGCCCAAAATTTGGGCATAGAGTGGCAAAACAAACTCTGCAAGTGCCCTATTGATGAAATATCTGCCATTATCTTGTAGCACGAGATTATGATAAAAACCGTAAGAGAATGTGAAGCACTATTCTTTGATTGTAAAATCCAAAATCTTGTAAATAACCTTGTCAAATTGATAGCATTTTCAATGTCACTGAAAACAAGAGTCTGCTTGACAGTAGTGTACTGTGTTGGACAATTTTAAAGCACTTAACTACTACGCCTATGTGCCAACTTGTCAGGGCATGGATTTGGAATTTCCTGTCAGTACAAATTTGTATGCACAATGTAACAGACACACTTCATGGGCTTACAACTGGAGATTTTCATTAAATTTCACAAAGAAAAACTTTCACAAGGTCAACAAAAATAAAAAGTTCCTAATGATTTGATTTTCTTTACTTGGGGTAGTACGAGGTCGGTCACCTTGGACCCGATAATTCCACTGCGTGTAAATTCTCTGTTGAGTCAACAAGCCAATCAGAACCAGGATGTGGTGCAAGTTCCACTTCCTGCCGGAGAACTTCTACCTTCTGCCACTCATCCCATCTTTCAGCCAAACCATCACCTTCAAGCATTCTCACCACTTCCGACATCTTAGGCCGATCCATTGGGTTGCTTTGTGTACAAAGCAATGCTACTTGGATCAGTTGCTCCACCTCAGCCTCCACATACTTGTTCTGAAGATCAGGGTCAACCAGCATTTCCAATTTCTTCTCTTTGAGGAGTCCTTTCACCTGAAACAAGAACCTCAACAAGTTCAGACATAGATGTAAAGATTCCTGCTAAAGGCAGAAACACTTATTAATCAGCTAGTGTTATGATTGTACAGATTAAAAAATGAGCACATTATGGTACTCGTGTCATGTTACATGTAAAGCAGGCATGACAACATACCCAGTCAAGCAACATGACATCGTCATCATTTGCAAGCCGAGCAAGATCAAAAGCACGTTGGCCGGTGATTAGCTCCAGAAGCATGATCCCATACCCAAAAACATCAGTCTTTTCTGAAGACTTCCCTGTGGACAGGTATTCTGGAGCTATATGCCCAATTGTACCACGCACAGCAGTTGTAACATGTGTATCCTTGTAGTCCATAAGTTTAGCCAAACCAAAGTCTCCAACAACAGCCTCAAATTCTTCATCTAGCAATATATTTGCAGCCTTCACATCACGATGGATAATCTTAGGGTCACAATGATCATGCAAATACGATAATCCCCTGGCAGACCCCAAAGCAATGCGCTTTCGCGTTGGCCAATCAAGTGGCGGTTCAGAAGGCGGTCGTTCTGATAAAATAAATTATTTTGTCAAGAGAATACAAAATAAATTATATTTCTACCTTTACCAAGTTACAGGAATAACATACAAGAATATGTTTTATTATAAAGAGTATGTTATGCCAGATAGAACGTTAACCAGCGAAAGATGTTCTTGCATTATGTAATAATACCCTCTAAATTAAAGGTGAGAACATCCAAATATGTTACGGAGTGATAGATTTCAGAAGGCGTCACCTCTCAGGCATGATGCAACACTTCCATTCGCCATGTAGGGGTAGACAAGCAGTCTTTCAGTTGGTGTCATACAGAAACCACGCAATCGTAGAAGATTCCTATGCACTGCCATGCTAATCATCTCAACTTCTGTTTGAAATTGCAACTCCCCTCCAGGAGTACGCTCCTCCTTAAGCCGCTTAACAGCCACCAATGATCCATCTGCTAAGCGTCCTTTGTATACCTTACCAAATCCACCTCGACCCAGAATATTTTTATTGCTAAAACTGTCGGTTGCAACTTGTAGCTCTCGGAGGGAGAACCTTTTCAGTTGACCTAAGTGAACTTCAGGATCTTCTTCAGCTGCAATAAATTTAAGCAAAAACGGTAATTATGGAGCCAAAAAATAAACATGCAAGAGAAACCACAAACACGCGAGGGAGCAAGTAGGAGTTATGGACTTATGGTTGGGTATTGTGAATACTGCTAACCTGGTACATCAAAGAAATATTCTTGTGGCTTTCTACGGCGCCACCAGGCAAATGCAATGGCAGGAGCAGCAAATAGTAGAGCAGCACCAGCAGCTACACCTCCAGCAATTGCTCCAGTTGCACCATTTCCTCCTGAAGTTCCCATAAATTTGATTAATTTCCTTCATATGATCCAGACTATATTTAACACACAATTTTGGCCCTTCATTATTTAAATCACTTCAAAAAGAAAGAACACAAATATGTATCTATCATTCAGATCTAATTTCCAGGATAGATTTTACAAAGCAAAGAAAATCTTCACAAGTTCTGGCTTAAATATGATTAATTTCATTCAGACATACTCGACTTCAAATACCACAGATAATAATTTACAAGGGGACCAAAGAAAAGATCTCCACAATGCTGAATTAAATTTGTATAAAGACCAGAATGCTTAGAGACTAAATGTAGTCTCGTGCATACCAGTTTCCCATAAGAACTACTTAACCAAAATGCCTGACTAGCTAAGATGGGCTTTCCTCTTCTGCCCCTTTCTTGTCAGTACTTCTATAGCACAAATTCTCACTTAGGTTAGGAAAAACTAAGAGAGGCAAGATGGATGGACCAACAAAAATCACCAAACTCAAACAAGCAAAAAAAAAAAAAGGGAAAACAACCTATCCACACCAATTTAGAGAACCACCTGGAGCAGAAATTGGTGGTGGTGGAACAAATGGAGGCGGAGGGGAGAATGGAGGAGATCCCGGACAAGGGCGTCCAGTTACAGGCCCGCAAAGATCTAAATTATTCGCAAAACTGTAAATTCAAGCAAAATATATTAGCAAATAGCAGCATACTAAAACCACCAGCCAGTTTGATGGTGCACCACCTTAAATGAAATATACCTGATAGGCGTGAATAGAGAAAAGGAACCATTATCTGGAACAACACCTGAGAGACGGTTGTTTGACAGATCCCTATATACAGATGAGACAAGAATTGAGCATGAGTATATCTGTATATGCACTAGAAGGAAAAGGAAATGAATGAAAAGATATGGAAGACAGAAAGAATTATCTAAGTTAAGTCACAAAATAACTAGTGTACTTACAACACTTGTAGTGATGAGATATTAGTCAGTGACATAGGGATGTTACCAGTTAAGCTATTATTGTTGAGCCGACTATCCTTGCAAAAAAATCACAAAGGTGTACAGGAATGAGCTTCACTTTTGGTATAAGTAATAATTGGAGAATAAAACAGAAGAAAAGGCTACTAATTGAATCATCTTAATTTATTTATTTATTGACAAGTAGAATCATCTTAATAAATTATTTATATGTGGATGTAAAACATATTCGAACTTCAAGCCAGAACCGGCACTTCAGCTGGAAATGAAGTTGTCAGTTCAGAACAACAATAAACAGCCTCAAAACATTTCCCCCCTGACAAACAGAAACTTGAAACACTTTTTGGACTAAATCATGTCAGTCAACATTGGCAGTACTGCAATAGTTCTATAGTAAGTCCCAAGATGCAGTTAATGAGGCTTCATGCTGAGTCTGCATAATAGAACTTATTTGGTACACTTCTTAGACAGTCAAGCCAAAAGAAAGAAGTTTGTGGAGCATTAAGCAAGAGAAACTTCAGCAGTGAAAAATGTAAGATGAAGCATGGGATTCTAAACTTCTTTTCTCTTCTAGAAAAGGATCCCAACAATGGGAGAAAAATAAAACACCAATTACTAAACTCTGCTTAATTTTACAATATCAGGCCCAAATATCAGACAAAGCATAGGCTTCTACTCTTTTCCTTTATATAAGGATTAGAACAAAGGGAGAAAATAAAAAGACTTATATGTAAGATCTGTTTTATTAATGATATCAGTCCCATAAAGTCCTCAAATACCTTCTACCATCAAAACTTAGTGTGAAACCTAATACTAATAGAGGTAATCTTATGTGAAACCTAGAAAAGAATTCAGGTTTCCTTTCCTTTCTCAACATGCCGGCAAAAGCAGGTCCATCTTGGTTGATGACATACACATTTGGCATCACAATATCCACATAAATCTAATATAGAATAAAAATACATACAGGAATCTCAATTTCGACAGCTTGCCCAAGGAATCTGGGATGGGACCGACGAAGTTGTTCAAGTAGAGATCCAAGCTGACCAAATTAGTCAAATTCCCAAGATCACTCGGTATTAGACCACTTATGTTATTACTGTAAAGCTCCCTGTGACAAGAAAACCAGAGAATGAATTAATTCCACAGATCATACCAATGACATCCCTAGGATAATGGGACAACCAAGATAATGAAGCAAAGTTCACACATTCATCAAAACTGGCATCAAGCTACAGTTAAATGTCAACAAATGAGAAAGGTCTGGGAGTTCCAAGCTAACAATTATAACTAGTTACCAATGTATATGTCATGGAGGAATTTTCTTATATTTGGTTACAAGCATTTTGCTAGATAAAAACCTGTCATCCCATGTGCTGCAAAGGATCAGCTCGTCAAACATTTTATACAATCTTTATAGCTCATCAATAAAAAATTAACGTCTGTCATTATGTTTATTTCGAACTTCATCTAAACAGTGTGTATGCCCAGTGATCGTTAAAATCCATCAGCATTCTTGATGTTCTTTTTATATTGTTTCATTCTTGATGTGATTGTCACTTGCATACACTTGGAAAATACTTAGCACACATACTACACAAGCCTCCAGCAAATCTAGGCATCCATAGGAATATATGAATGTGTGAGCAGAACGAAGCAGTCACTAGGTAATAATTATGCCCATCATTAAAACATTGTCTGATGCATCAGTATACATCATGTAATGCCCAGCTTCACCAGGTGCACATGCACTCACTGTCTCTGTGAACTTCCATACAGTTGCATCTTCAAAAGAGCATGGGTTACAATAAGAACTTGAAAGCCAGTTTGAGACAGAATATGCCTATAGCACGTTGACAATTTAAGTGAACGGTATATTATCAAACTCCAAACTAAGCTAACACAGGTACAAAATCTATGCTTAATTGAATCATGATTCAAACTCGTGGTGAAAACCAGAATAGCATCTGTTATATGACCACAAAACTTCAGATCTTCTCCTCCAAGATATCAACCTACCCTCAAGCCATATTTCCTCTTTCTAAGTCTAGATTTTGCTTTACTTTTACAATGGACTTGTTTCTCTTGTTTGCTTTATCCTATTCCATCATCCTAAATCATGATTAGACGCTACCTGGGACAAGGAAAGAGGGAATAAAGGATTTGATATGAGTTGGAAGTTTGTTTAAGAGTGCTTAGGGTACCAAGCAGGGTTGTGGTGGAGTGGTAAGTACTCCTTCATCCTTAACCAAGAGGTCTTGGGTTCGAGCCCTCTTGGGTACGGAGTCACCTTTGTTAGGGAGCGCTTTACCCCCAATGTGGGACTTCCCAGCGCGAATCCGGATTTAGTCAGGCTCCAATGTGGGTACCGGACACCGGGTGGGAAACCAAAAGAATAAAGAGTGCTTAGGGTACTGGCATTAGTAATGGTATTTAGAATCTATGCTTACTTTGGATAGGGGAGTGTATGACAGAAATTTAAGTTCAACTACAATGTTTTCACAAGCAATTACAGACACTACTTTGCCACATAAGTTAATTCACTGCTAGTCTCATCCAAGTATCCGAGTTTCTTAATTTACTAGTATGTATTGTGAAACACAAATTTAAATCTTTTTTTATGAAGTATACATTCAAATTTGTGTTGTTCAGGGAACACATTAACAACTATGCAATTGACTACAACACCAAGTGAAACAAGAGATGGAGAGGAGAAAGTGTTCTCTGCTCGCTTTTGCCACTTACAACAGCTTTGTTTTATGCGAAAGTTAATATGCAAGCCATCTATGGTATTTCCAGCAGCAAATTCTAGAGGTAATATGAAAAATCTTCAACATCTGGAAAAACCAATACACTTAATGCCAGTTTTCCAAGTCTAAATTCGTAAAATAATTCCAAACATAGTTCATGAAGTGAGACTTACAAGTACTGCAAATTCTTCAAAAGGCCAAGCTGTGGGACTAACAGACCAGATAAAGCTGCATTTCCTAAATCACTGGAAAGGTTGATCATATAACAAGTGTTATGGAAGCACAAACTGCAATTAGATTTGCTCACCACCACAAGAGAGTGGAATTGCAAATCCATTAAAACGGAGGTAAACCAGACAACAGATTCTTACACTCTTATAACACTGTTGTCATTGTTGCAGGTAACATGAAACCATGTGCAAGGATTAACAAGGGTAGGGTCCCAGCTCTGTAGCACATTGTTAGGATCTTGTAAATTGACGCGTAGACTATGCAATGCATCACCTGTTCGTGTATCCATTTAGGAAAACATAAACGATATTTAATCCACCAAAATGCACATAAAAAATTAATCTATTCACTGAATAAAACAGTTTATCAAGATTTTGGCAACAACCAAATTAAATCACATCAAATTATTCAAGCTTGTATAGGAAACATAATGCACTAAGGTTGAATGGCAATGATAACTAAAAACTTTAACATATAACTGACATTAAAACTAAACTGCTTGCCACCGTAACAATGCAGGGAGCTCACTGCACATCTTGCTTACCCTTTTGGGAAAATTCAACAACTCACACATTAGTCAAATTCAAAATCCAATTTTGCACATACTCATTTCACTTTCAGCAAATATTTAATTTCTAGTACGAAAAGTTTCGACATTTGAAACTCATCTCACAAAATAGAACAACAAATATAGACCTAAAAATTAACTAAATGAGGATGATGGTCCCACAAACCTTCCATATTAGCATAAATGAGCTTAAGATGATGTACAACCAAGATTAGCCATACCACCAGTGACACCACCACAGCATCCTTCTCCATCACCTTCACCATCAAAATACTGTTTTTTTTTTTACAAATCAAGCAGCCAGCTGACAAAACAATCTCGTAGATCCAAGTAAAGCAAACTCAAAAAAGCCAGCATTTACCCAAAAATTCAAGAAAACCCTACCCCTCATTACCATGAACCAAGATAAACACCCCCACAAAGCTCAAAACCCAAGAATCGATCTCATCTCATAACCCAACAAAAAAAGATCAAATTTTTACACTTGTTTACCAAGATTTTGCTACCCCTTTTACTCTTCACTGAACAACCCTTTTTTGTATTTCTCAGTTCAGTTTAGTTCTTCTCCTTCTTCTGATGAACCCCCTTTTTTTTTTTTATCTGCTGCAACTTTTCACATTTTTGTACTGCTTCTCTTTCTCTCTCTACTGAGTTGTGTGTGCGCAGAGAGAGAGAAAAAAAAGTAAGTGAGAGAAATTATTATCTTCTCTTTTTGGGCGTGTTAAGCTGCCCGAACGGTGCTTTGCCCGTCTGCCCGTAACCTTAAAACTCTAAAACGGCTTCGCGCTATCTTTGACTCCTGTCAACTTTTGACACTTTTTTCAAATTATTAATAAAAAGTAACATAAAATCTAAAATGAAATTTATATGTTCTTGCTTTTTTTATAAATGGCAAAATACATTAATATCAACAACCCGTAACCAAAACTAAGTAATAATAATAATAATATATTTAGTTCAATTTTACATGTGACATTTAAAGATGATAGAATGTACACATGTCTTATTTCAATCTTTGTGAGTTAAGGATGTTATTTTTAATAGACCCTTGACGGAAAAAAGAAAAAGTAACTGACGCTAGAAAAGTAAATATTATTTATGTTTCAATTAATATTGATGTGTATAATTAAATGAACGGACGTAAAAATATGATGAACTATCTATGGAATAGGTCAAGCACAAAAAATAAAATATGAATTGAAAATATCTAATAGCTAAAAAATATTTTATCATGTATTGAGTTGATCATTTAAAGTAAATTGTAATTAACTATCTATATAAAATTTACCAATAAATTTGTTGATGTATTCAACATTCTCCTTAATACCCACCAGCATTATGTTAATAAAGAATACATAAACCTATCTTTAATTTTCGTGTTTGTTTGACTTGTTAAGCCTTTGTTTTTTTGGAGCAAAATAATTTAATCCCCTTCATTTTTAATATATATATATAGAGTATAATTTAATAGGACACGAAATTTTAAAACAAATTTTAAGACTTAATAATCTTAAACATGGGTATAAATTTGTGGTGTAATTATACAAGACTTTTACATATTTTTCTATAATCACATAATTATCCTCTTTTTTGGGGATTCATATTTTTTTTGTGTGTGATTGTTAATTACATATGTTGTATATAAATATATCATGATAAAGAAACAAGAAATCTTCATCATGGCTAAATTAAAGCGTATCTATCGACAATCATTTATCGAGTCATATATATTTGCTATTTGATTAAGTCAAATACGGTAAATACAGTAAAATTAAGAAATAATTATCCTAAACAAACTGAAAAACATAATTATGTAAAATGGTTTCTTTACTTCAAAATTATATTTGTTCAAAACTATTTTAAAATGTTTTTTTAATTTGAGTTCACCAAAGTCATAACCAACAACATGATTATGTTGACGTTTTTTACTTTTATCAGAAAGAAATAAAACTCATGCACACACTATTTTCTTTAAATTCAAATTTTACACGTGAAATTATACTGAGTGTAGTGTGGTTGTGATTTATAAATATTGGAAATTGTTTACTCATTAAATGAGCATTATAAAGAAGTTTTCCTTTTGAAGCCATTTTAACTAAAAAATGGAAAAAAAATCAGTTTGTTTTAAAATAAAAAAAATATTAAAGTTTTTTTTAATTTTCTGATTATTTAGCACTTTCCTTTTTATTTATTAGTACTTATTTTGCTTTGATATCATTATCTATTCCTTGAAAACAAACTTCCTCTTTTAATGCATGCTACATATATACAATTCTTGTATAATTACCTCTTTTGTTTTGTATACAAAGTGGGTTGCTGAAAAAGTGCAAATTCAGAAATTTTTTAAACACTAAAGTAAGATTAATTTTGACCCAAAAAAATGAAAATAAAGTAAGGTTGCACGTGTGGTTAATTTTAAATAGTTTTAAGTGGTCTAATTACATTTTTTTAAAAATACAACAAAGACATCTTTAGCAATTAAACTAAACTCTTGTGTACCTCAGCCCCCAACAAGAAAGAAAAGATAAAGAATATTTTTCCCCAAATATAAAAATGTTGCTACTTAGTTGGAAAGTGACCTTTATTAATTTGTTGAGAAAAAGAAAGATATTTGGTTTGTGGGGAATTTACATCAAATATCCAAAAATGAAATCATGGGAAAGTGACAGGACAGTGTGGGCTTAAAAAGGGACCCCTAATATTTGTAGGTCCATAGTTTCTTTTGTTTTCTTTTTGGTTTTCTACCGGATTCGATATTCATATTGAAATTCGATTAATTTGAATTTGGATTATGTAATTAGAGCCCCTTTCGGGAGAAAATTCTTTCTATTCAGGAGTTTTTTCATACTCAAATTCAATTTTTTGACTAAGAAATAACTAGTCTCATCCACTGTTCCACGTCCTTTGTTGTTTCTTTTATTTTCAATTAAATTTGATAGTCCAAACCTAGTCAATATTCCGTTTTGAGAACAATTACGGGACGGGACAATTTTGTTATCAATTTTTTCATTTTTGGCCCAAATAGAAGACAACATATTATTGTATTAGTCCCACATTCTTTTATTTTGTATAGGGACATTATTGTATTTATGCTATTTGATTATTTATTTATTTTTGTTTATCTTGGTTTTGGCATTTTGATTTGTCTTTTTGTCTTTTGGATGATTTTCGTGATTTATGACTAGTGAAACATAATCAACATCAGGGCTTTTTTCAAGTTTCTCTTTTAGAAATTGGAGTTGGTTTAGGTCAATAACCACAAAGCAATGGAATGGACCTCATTTTGCAATTTCATTATATACTTGCTTATCTTTATGGTAAAAATAAATAAATACCCAAGTAGCTTTTTCTAAGTTTTTTACTTTGAAATTATTGTATAAAGTATATTTAGGATCTCTTCCATCAATCCATTGTTATTGATAGTTATTAATAGGTCATCCACATATACTACAATGATTACACAACATTTGAATTAACTTCTCTCAATAGAAGAATATCCTTTGGAAGGAACAATCATCTGAGTCCTCAAAATCGTTCTGAACACCCACTAGAGTCTTTTTTCGAAAACTCCAAATATAATAGTTCTTCTTAATTGGTAGCACAATCTGGAACGACTTTGTCATTCAAATTCTTTTACACTTTATTTCTTTTATTAATCAATTTTTATTTCTTAACCATGCAGTTACTTAAAATGTATTAGGGTGATTCTATGCTTTTCCACCGAGAAAAAGATATATAATTCCTCTTTTCAGTTCCATTACTATCCAAAAAGTAGGGAGATTATTCATATAGGGTGAAAGTTAGACTTGAGACTTCAGAAAATTAAGAAGCGACACGTGACAAGAAGAAAAAGTTTAAAGCAGTTGGGATAACATCAAATGATATATTCGTAACGTGAGTGGTAAGGGTAAACCTGACCATGAAAGACCCAAAGTCAAGACAATCATAATCAGTGTCATATCGACGAAGTTTGTCTAACTCGAAAAAACAGGATCGAACACCAAACTATGACCAAATATGACAAGTTTGAGATAAGTTGGGGGTCCAATTGTTACGGAAGAACCTGAGAACTCCACCAATCGTTACATAATTGAAGTAAATGTGAGTTCGTGGACTTAGTGAGGAACTCAGGCTCATTCTATTTATATAACTTATTATTTCATGTCAATTTCATGTTTGTTATTTCTTTGTGTTGTATATATATATATTATTATTATTATTATTATTATTTTTAATTATACAAGTTACAATATACAAACCACATATTTAGGTAATTTAAATTCATATATTCTTAAATTGTGTCTATAAATTCAATTATATCGTTTTATAGGTAAACACTACCAAAACTTTAGAATCTAATGATGGATATATTGTTGTTTACATGTATTTTTACATTTAAGATTTTTTAATCATGTTTTCGATATCTTGGGCATTGTACTTTTCTTCAATGATTAATGTATTTTTCCTGTGCCATTTCTAAAAATGAAAACCAGAGTGAAAAGGGGAAAAAAGAGAAGGAATTGCAATCAAACCAAATTTGAACCCCATCACATTATTACTTGTAACTTTTATAAGTGAAAGTCCGGCCCAAAATTTCTTCTCAATTGTCTTTGAAAACTTTAATGGTAGCATGTGGAGAGAGAAGGCAAATGCAATAACAATCATTTAAATTTCCCTATTTAAAGAGGAGAAAATGTTGACCATAGTAGTCTTCAGTTTTCAAACTTACTGATAAGACTTCTATTATTTTCACAAAAAGCATAAACGACACAAAATAAAATAATAACATGATGAAGAGGTCGAATTGTTTCACTTTTCACTGGAGGTTTCGGGTTCAAGCCATGAGTATGAAGAAAATTTTGTTGGAAGCACCACTCCTGAATAGGTTATGTAGTGTGTGATCCAAATTAAATTGGCTCTCCAATGAAGGCTTAAGACACCAAATGAAAAACCATAAAAATAAAATAAAATAGGATGATTCTACTCCACTATTATAAACATAAGCCTCTTCTATCAGAAAATGCACGTTGGAAAACATATTCTCATCATAATATTTTATTTTAAAAAAAAACAATTGTGTGAAAATATTAATATTTTTTTAATGAACGTGAAAAGAGTTACAATCGCTATTAAAATGAAACGGAGGGAATATTAATTAGCCTTTCTTTTTGTTAGAACCAGTATCATCCATATTCTTCTTCAAAAGATATGAATGAATGTGGAAAAATGATGACCATGGGAAGTTGACATATAATTATGTAATGGGGAATCTTTTAATTGTCTATGTTTGATGTTTCTCTACATTTTCAAAAGGGTCCAAGTGACTTTGATTATTACTACTTGTATTTTCCGTCATTATTATGCCTAGCTAGGGCAATCTTATTATAACCACTTGATATACATCATATAAATAACATCTAATTAGCTTTCCTTATGGTTTTTCCTTTTTCTATATTCTATTTTGGAACTTTACCAATAAACTAAAAAAATTCTGCTTATTCTAGTGTAAAATAATATAAATTATGATTGCTTAGGCAGGTCTTTAGAAAGTGTTTGCCTTTTAGAGTGTATTTGGTATGAAGAAGAATGCCTTTGAATATACCTTCTTTTAAAAAAAAAAATATTAAGTGATTTTCTTCTTATTATTAGTATTATTATTTTTGGCAAGTATATAATTTTCTCAAGAACATTGCGTTGCCTCCAAAATAGGTCTTGCAATGCGCGGGGTTCAAATATATATAATCAAGCTCTAATATAAATATCAAATATCAAGTGAAAGACCGATAAAAATAGAAATTGGGCTAGTTTTGGAGGTGCTAGGGGTAGGGGTGGGAGGTTAGGGTGGCCAGGTGGGGTGTTGGGAATGGAGGAAGATAATCAACATGGAAATTAAAGTCATTTAAGGAACGTGTTTTTTTTCTCATTAGGAAGTTACTCCCCGGTTTCAAAAGAATTGAATTGTTTAGATATTTTTCATATTTCAAATTAACTTAATTGTTCAATCTTCAAAATTACTTTTAAAATATTCTTTCATTTTTACCCTTCATTTGGATTTTCTGTGTGATGAGTTCAAGAAACTTTAATTGCTTTGAAAATTAATTATTCTAAAGATTAATTTGATAATAATCAGTAAAGGCAAAAATGGAAAGTAATGTCTAATTTATGTCCTAATCTTGTTTTCTTAAAGAGTGTGAAACACCCCCAATAATTCAATTATTTTGAAATGGAGAGAGTATAATTTTAATTTCTAAGAAACTTATTTTTTCTGGTGAAAATCTTTCGACTCACTAAATATAAAAAAGTTGAAAAAAAATAATCTTAAAAATTGTTTTCCTAATTGTTAAACCAACTAACAACAGCCTCTCCTAATTGTTTACAAGTTTTAGTGATGTACTACAGCTTCAAGTTTATATGGTTGGTTTTGACAACTCATAGAGTAGATCATTGTCTTTTTACATGAGATTGGCTACATGCTAAATAGACTTATTTGTTTCTATTCTAACAAATGGTCGATAAAAAAACAAATTTGATGGACATAGCTAGTGACCCTAACTAGATAGTAGCGCAATAAAAAAATAAATTATGAACGATATTTAATAAAATACAAAAAAATATATATGGGGGTTGAATATGTAATTCTCTTATATCAAGGAATTCTAAAAGGAAATTATATAAGTATAAGATAGATGAGAATTTTTTTTGCAACAAAATTCTTTAGGTGACGACATGGAAAATATGCACTTATATGCCATTCTACCGTGCATAAGAAAACATTAGGTAACTTACCATAATGGATGTTGAAAATAATAATTCAAAGTTAGATTAGGAATTCTAGTTTATTTAGGATTTATTATTTGGTAATTTGTTTTCATATTGGAATACGTTTTCTAATCCTACCTTAATTTGGTTTATTAGTATTATAAATAGGCATGCTTTGTCACCTAGTTTCTTATAGTGAAATTAGAGTTTTTGAGTTTATAAACAAAATATTTTCCTTCAAATTGAATTATGGGATCATTGGTTGATAGTGTTGCAGTGCATAACTTGAACAAGAAGATTGTGATGGGTGACAATGGTTATGTTCTGGAAGACGTTCCTCATTTGTCTGATTATATTCCTAGTCTTCCTACGTATCCTAATCCATTGAAGAACAATCCTTCCTATTCAGTCGTTAATCAGTATTTTGTCGATAAAGATGATACAGTTGCTCAAAACATTGTTGTCCGCAAGAATAGTCCAAGAGGGATACATTTTCGTCGAGCTGGTCCTTCCCAAAACGTTTATTTTAAGTCCGACGATGTTAATGCATGTATTGTAACATGTGGAGGTTTATGTCCTGGTCTTAACACAGTTATCAGGGAAATAGTATGTGGCCTATACTCTATGTATGGTGTAAGAAGAGTGATGGGGATAGATGGAGGATATCAAGGTTTCTATTCCAAAAACACGATTCCTTTGACACCTAAGGTTGTGAATGATATCCATAAACGTGGTGGAACGATTCTTGGGTCATCTCGAGGAGGTCATGTTACGAAGAAAATAGTTGATAGCATTCAGGACCGGGGTATCAATCAGGTTTATATAATTGGAGGAGATGGAACACAGAAAGGAGCATCGGTGTTATTTGAGGAAATTACAAGGCGTGGTCTGAATGTTGCAGTTGTTGGAATCCCCAAGACAATCGATAATGATATACCAATTATTGACAAGTCTTTTGGTTTTGATTCCGCGGTTGAGGAAGCTCAACGTGCTATTAATGCTGCTCATGTTGAAGCTACGAGTTTTGAGAATGGAATTGGGGTTGTGAAGTTAATGGGACGGGATAGTGGGTTCATAGCAATGTATGCTAGTCTTGCTAGTGGAGATGTTGATTGTTGTTTGATTCCAGAATCTGATTACTATCTTGAAGGACGTGGTGGAGTGTTTGAGTACATAGAACAAAGGCTCAAAGAGAATGGACACATGGTTATAGTTGTAGCTGAAGGTGCCGGACAAGAAGTTGATGTTGGTTTATGGATATCGAAAAGGATAAAGGAGCATTTTTTGAAAGAAAAGAAGATGATGATCAATCTTAAATATATAGATCCGACATACATGATTCGGGCTATTGCAAGTAATGCATCTGATAATGTGTATTGCACACTTCTTGCTCAAAGTGCTGTACATGGAGCAATGGCTGGCTACACAGGCTTTACGGTTGGTCCTGTCAACAACACACATGCTTACATACCCTTTGATAGAATCACTGAGAAACAAAACAAGGTTGACATTACAGACATGATGTGGGCACAACTTCTATCTTCAACAAATCAACCTAGCTTCTTGTCAACAACGAGATCAGCCGATATAATTGAAGCAAACAAGGGCGAAGAACCACCTACTCAATTATCAGACGAAGAAACAAATCCTTGCTAATTCGTAACTTTTTGAACATTATACATATATATATGGTCCCTTGTAACGGTAGTTTGACATTTTGTGAGAGAATCCTACACTGCTGTAATCTCAATAAATTGTACATAGTTTTCAATAAAATCGTTTTACTGAACGAAACCAATAATCCAACATTTTCGTTCATTATATTTCAGATTTGTCTAGTACATTGCATTTTAACTTGCAGCCATTTTGTTGGAATGTATGCGTCCACTAACAGTCAACGGACTTGGTCCCTTGACACAGTAATAACAATAATGCAAGTACAAACAGTAGAGAAAACAACGCAAGCAATTAACGTGGAAACCCCCTAGCTCAAGGGCGGTGAAAACCACGACCTGTCCTCACAGGCTTTTCAACCCAACTCCATTTCTCTCAAACAGAGCAACAATTCAGATTACAACTGCTTGCAACCTAGGAATTTACCTCTAAATCCCTTCCCCCTCAATGTAGCAACTCTACTACAAAGAGAACAACTAAGCAATAACACTATTGCCCACTAAGCTACCCAACACCTGATAACTTAGACTGTAACTAAGCAACACACAAGGTTGCCCACTAAACCACCTAACTAGATGACTTAGAATTTGATTAAGCAGCAACACTGCTGCCCACTAAATCAGTTAATCACAATTGACTTAGACTTTAGGATGAACTGAACAAAAGATCTATTTCCTTTATAACTTAGGAATAGATTTACAACTTAAGCACGGAAGTAAAAACCTAAGACAACTAAGACGCAAGCAGCTCTATCAGGTCCCTATTGCTCTTGAGGAGAATACTTCTTGAAAGGAGTGGTTTTTGCTTGAGTTCTTGAGAATTTCAGGAATGCAAAAACTAAGGTTGTGTCTATAGAGGATGACCTTATGAAGGATAGACACAACCTTCAAGGCCATGCTATTGGCCGAGGATTCTGTCACACTTGGAGACTGTGCACCAACCTCACCAAACTTTTGTACTTTTTCCAGCTTGTCATTTGTGTACATATCGACACAAGGATCAGCTCCCTTTACAAGGTCCCTTGATTTGTCAAATCATCAAAACTGCAAATAACACATTTGCCTCATTTTTTTTAAAGTACCTTGCAGCTAGGATATTTATGTATACTAGTGAAGCTTAATGCAAAAATTTTGAAACCCCTTGTCACTGTCTCGGCCATCTAAATTCTGCCTGAAGAATGGAGATTTCAGGCGATTCAAACAAAGAGATCTGATCAAACGTTCCTATGTGACTTGAAGCCAAATATAATGGTTCAATAATAGAACTGAAAGCCTCAATCACAAATGCTAAAAATTATTTGAAGTAAACAAATAATGCAGAGCTCCTCCTTTCCAAGAAAAGAAAAAATAAAACCAAAATCGGAATCTTTACACAATCATAGACCTCGATGCTATTGACGAAGCAAGGTAGCAAAACGTACACTATATATCATAAAGTTTCATGATTGCACGAAGTCTTTATCAAAAACTCAATACAAGGTAACATCTCTTGTATCCTAAGATAGAAAACTACTTGCAGTCTAGTCATGAAAAGCTCACTCCTAGTAGATAATCATACAATTCGTGGAGGATCTTGGGCAACCTAACAATTTCTCAGCCATTTGAGATAAACTTGCGGACACACAGTTGATTGAACATATCTCACACTTTATGCTCTTTGATATCACGAACTTCTCCAAAACCGTTGCATTCTTTAACAGACATTCTGAAAGTTTCAAAAGCTTGTCAAAGCCCTGTTTGAAATGATCCTTAAAGCACACTCCGGAGGAGCTGATAATCTTAACATTCTTCAGGTAGGGGAACCCAAAGCTTGAAATCCAACTTTGCAAATCAATATCATCTCCTTTGGCCAAATATGCTAACTCAAAGCAGCAGTGGGAATCTTCGAGCTGGAGACAGAAAACATAATTAGGACCAAATGCAGGTTACCCTAATGGACGTTGCACAGAAGTGACAAAAATGATTTCACAGTAGACGTGTTTGGTACAGAAAATTTCAGAACCAACAAATCTAAATGGTACTTGTAAAAAGATTATGATGTTGTTCATATCTTAAAGATTCATGGCGTATGTAACCCAAGCAAAGAGTGATGGTACTAAACCCTTTTCGTTTCAGAGCTCATTTGCCGTAAAGAAACCAACAACATCAACCTATTAACGTGAAGCTTTGCATTGAAAAAAGCAAACTTCTTACTGATATTTAAAGATATTAAAATTCTCCTTCAGAAACATTTTCAGGGGGGGGTGGTTAAACTTCATAAAATGAATGGATGTAAAAAGAAGAGAGGAAGTTCCAGGAAGTTACATGATCTGTTGATATATCTGTGTCGAGTGCCACCGTTGATATATCTATGTTGAGTGTCTCTACATGAGGTGATGCTCGCAGAAGGCCAGCAACTCCATACAAACTAAACTTCTCCTCATGCAACTCTAGAGTCAGATATTTGCATTTCAATTCTGGAAGCGGAATCCCTTGGAACTGCAACATACACAGAACCTGGTGCAACAATTCCAATTAAACTAATAATATAAAGAATGGAGAAAACAATAACAACAAAAAGGAAGTACTCCACAGCAAGAAAAGTTATGTGACAAATCAAATCATCTAAACACTTTAAGCAACATGACGCACAAGAATCCTGGTTTTCAGATATTTCTTTTGCCAATATGACAAGAAATATCAAACATCAGAAAGTTGACTAAAAAGCACAAAAAGGCCACAAGTTTCTGCAAATAATCCAGTAATTTGAACAAACAGACCTCTGTGATAGAAACAACTGTCTGCTAATAACAAACAGAGAACAGGACTCTGAGATAGAAACAAACCTCTGCGAACAAAGCTCCAATTGTTAACTCGTTTGCATTACGGAACGCTAGAAGATAAGTGTGGATGAGGATCTTGAGGAAATGATGATAGTAACTACAACTGTCTTCATGAGGATCAAATTCCTGACAATGATCATCTAGGATGTCTTTGATACACCTAACGTTGAAGGTAAGCTTAGCAGTAACAACGGAGGACACATCAAAAAGTATACACCTGAGATCATAAAGATCTCCTGAAATTTCCAAATGCTGAAGATATGGGGCATATATTTCCAAAATACGACGATAAAATTGAAGACCTACTTTCCAATGACCTTTCAGCTTCAATGTCTTTAATTTTGAAGACGAAATTTCCATGCGACAAGGACCCTTAATCAAAACTAAATCATATAATTCCATAGTTTCCAATGCAGGACATCCTGACAATAAGTTTGCAATTGTGTCATTGTCTAAAAACAAATTCCCCAACTTTATGCTCGTTAGAGACTTCCAGGCTATGACCACATCAACATCAAACTTAATTGGACCCAAAACTAATGATATCAACGACGAACATGCACAGAAAGATTGAGTCATTGTGCATTCGTCCGCCATTAAATCAGTGGACCAGAGTACAACATGTTCCACTTTTCTTTTAACAGCAAAACTAAGCCATTGACTGATTTGAGATTGGTAGTCGTACACAAACTCGTTCGTGTAGTCGAGTTCAAATTTTTTAATTTTGGGCGAATCGGAATGAGCTAATACATAATCAACAAAGGGTACGAAATTTTCTCCATAATTGCTACAATTAAAAATGAAGTTATCAATTGAAGTCCAGAGATACTGCCACCTTTTCGAGAGAATAGAGGTTGTGAAGGCATCCTTTGTTGGCAAAAGAGAGAGAATCTGAATAAGAAGAGAGTCTGGCAAATCACTGATTCGGTCGACGGTTTCTTCGACTCCGGCGACACTCTTCTTTTGTAAATCATTGACTCTGTCGACGGTTTCTTCAACTCCGGCGATACTCTTCTTTTGTTTCTTTGACGCCGGGCAATTACTGCGGGAATCCATTGTTTTGATCTGAGTTATGGCTCAAAATTGAGAAGAACGGTTACTAAACCTATTTAAGCCTGTAGACCTGATTAGTTTGCATTTAAACCTAAGTCCAATATATAGTTGTTTTTTTTTAGAGTATCTTTTAATAGTCTGAATACATCTGATCTATGAAAGAGTTCTATTCAGACTGCATTTATTTCTCTCTCAAACTCGGGCTTTAATTTCTTTTTTTGAGAGCAACTTCCTTCTTACTCATTTTTTTCAACTATCAATCAATCAATTTAATATTTTGTATTCTCCATTTTCAATGCTAGTTTTTAGTTTTGAAAATAGAGTTTAAGAAGATCAACAAGATGTCCACAACTTTAGTCAAATAAAGTAAAGAAAAGAAGAGCAATCAAAGTAGATATTTTACCATAGGCACTTAAATATGCTTTGAGAAAAGATTAATCTTAATGAAAATAAATAAGGCCGAAGTCTGGATATTTGCCAAAGTTTCAAATAAGTTAAAATTAGCTATATGAGTACTCACTCACCGTATTTCTCCATTGAATACAACCACAGACAGTCAAACGATCAAAGAAACGAGTCTTAAACTTACATTCGTCTAACCCACGAGGCACATACCACCCCACCCCGCTTATGATTTTCAAAAAAATTGCTTCAACCCGCACCACACACAACAGGACAGACCAGCCCTGCCTCGTTATCATTCCTAGGTGCCCTGTGAAGGTTGCCTTCAAATCAAAGAAAATAAGACAGAATAAGCTGATAAGAAAACAGAGGGAAAATGAAGTAAACATCATCTACAGCTGACATCTCTTCTTGGCTACATAACATTGAAATAATGTTGCAGGAGAGTTCCTCAAGCCAGAGTTTGATGAAGTTAAAAAGACAAAATACCAACTTATGTCTGAGTAAATAAACATGTCTTGTAGGTTTGCCGATCTCGACAGTTTTGCAAGAAAATTACAAACACATATATGCAACGACTAGAATGCCACCAGTTAATAATTTGCATCTGCAGTAAATCAAAAGCTACAATATACAGTGACATTTCTAGTATGCCAAAACAAAACTTCTACTCTAGTCAATCCAAAGCAGACTCTTGGTAAATAATCAAAAGCTTCTTAGATGATCTTGGGCTGTCTAACAATTTCTTAGCCAATCCTGATAAATATTGGGACACACAGCTCTCTGAACATTCCCTGCAGATTCTCCTCTTTGATACAATGACAAACTTCTTCAAAGCCGTTGCATTCTTTAGTAGAAATACTGAAAGTTCGAAAAGCTTATCATTGCCCCCTCCAAACCACTTTTTTCTACATTCATATATGCAGGCATCAAACGTAACATTCTTGAGATTGGGAAACACAGTGTTTGAAATCCAACTCTGCAAGATTATATGACGTCCTTTGTCCAAATAACGTAGCTCAAGTTGGCAGCGGAAATCATTAAACTGTAGTAGATAATATAATCAGAATCAAATGGAGATCCACAACAGAAATGGGAATATACCATGTAACACAAAAAGGAAGTGCATTTGCAATAGTCTAATATAGAATAATTTTCAGAATCCACAAACCTTGGAACAGTTCTCAGCAATTGATTACAATATCTTATCCCTACCAGATATGCTCAAGCAGTAGATGAAAAGTAAACAAGGCTTAGTTTGTCACCATTGCTTTCTAAGTACATTTACCAGATAGAAAGCAACTACAGTGACAAAAAAAATTCTTAGTGTTAATTAAATTAATATTTCCATCCTCCTTAAGAAAATATTTGAACTGGTGAGGTTGGGGCTGGGGAGTTCTTAAAACTTAAAAAATCAAAGATTTAAAAGCAAAGAATAAATTGCGAGAAATTACAGCTCTAGCTCTCAAGGGTATGTTGAGTGTCTCCAAAAGAGGCGAGTTCTGCAAAAGGCTAGCTGCTCCATACAAATTATTCTTTGTCACGTACATCTCTAAAGTTAGACACTTGCATCTCAATTTTGGTAGCGACACACCTTCGAGTCGCAACATGAACACGACCTGGTGAAATAATTTCAAAGAAATTAGTGAAGGATAGAGAAAAAATAATCCACAAAAAAATAGTGCTATGACAAATTTATGTACTTTATAATTGTTAATCTAACCATCTAACCACTTTAATGAATAGCAATGCAGAAAATCTAGTTTCTAAAAATATCCAAACTTCAAATAGTAGATAGGAAGACCACAAAAGGCGAAGAGAAAGATCAATTTATATGGATAAAAAATTCAGTTAGTCGATCAAAAAATATTCTCACTAAAATTTTCGTGTATACAGAAGTTCATAATTTTATTAGATTCTGAAGGCTCTTCTCTTTCACAAGTTTACATTCCGCAATGTTCACTTGAACTTAAATAGAGAATAAGGTCTTTTGACATGAAAACAAACCTCTGCAAACCAGCGTCCAATTGTTAGCTCAGTTGCATAACTTAGTTTTTGAAGATAATCCAGAACGAGATTTCTAAAACCTTGATGATAATCACTACAACCATCTTCGTCAGCAAACCCCTCGATCTCAGTTATACATGTAATGTTAAAAGTAAGTGTAGCAGTAACCAAAGAGGAGACATTTACTAGCTTACACTTGAGATAATCAAGGTCTCCTGAAATTTCCAAATGCTGAAGATACGGGGCAATAATTTCCAAAGGTTCATCAGCTCTGCCATAAAACCACCAGTAGCTTCCTAATGATAGTCTCTTTAAATTCGAAGAAGTGATTTCTAGACGGCGAAAACCTTCAAATAAAGACAACTCCAGAGTTTCCAAAGCAGGACAACCTGACAAAATCTTCGCGAGATCGTCATTATCTATAAAAACATAGTTCAACTTTAGGCTCTTCAACGACTTCCACTGTATAACCGATTCTTTATCAATCGCACAACAGCTCCAATCCAATGTAATCAATGAGGAACAAGTACAAATAGATATAGGCAATTCGAAAGTGAAATTGTCATCACATAAACACAATACAACATCTTCCACTTTTCTTTCCACAGCAAAATTCATCCATCGGCTGATACTCAAATCAAAGTTCCACTCAGAGTTATAAGGTAAAATGAGTTGGAATTTTTTGATTTTGGAACAAGTACAATGAGATAAAACATGATCCACTAGAAATACGAAATTTTCTACATTGTTGTAGTAGCTACAACCATCGAAATGGAAATTATCAATTGAATTACAGAGATAACGCCACCTTTTTGAGAGAACACATGATGCGACGGCATCTTTCGTCGGCAGAAGAGAGAGAATTTGTATGAGAACTGCGTCCGGCAACTTACTGATACGATCTAGGGTTTTTTCAACTTCACGGACTCCGTTCGTCGACATTGGATCTCTCACAGTAGAGCCGACATTTTTGCTGGAATGGCGCGAATCCGTGATTTTAAGAGGGGAAGGGTTTTTGGGAATTCCCAAAAAATTGGTGCCAAATCTTTTTTTATTTTGGTTTATCTGATCCGACTTTAGTTTTTAGGTGTAAATTTTTATTTTAAAAATGACTACGTTTTAATACATGTTTGTAAATAAAATGGCATTGTTACTATTATAACTTTTCAAAAATAGGAAAGTAATCAGTGAACACTATTTTTGTCATTTTTGCTCATTTTTTATGTCGGTCTTCAATTTATTCCTTTTTAATTAAAAAAAATACCTCAGAGTATAAGTTCATATTTGTATATCCTAATATCTATAAGTTATGCCCCAACATAATTCCAGTCTCTAAGGAACTTCTATTATCACTGGGCAAAAATTAAAGACCAACGACATAAGAGATGAAAACACGAAAGGTATAAATATGAGGGTAATGTAACACTAGGAAAATAAGGATCGTATGTCCATTGTCCAACACAAAAATTGTTCTGCAAGACACGAGCTATTATCATTAGGATCACATCATCCACCATCAAACCAAGAGAGTCGCGAGAAAATCTCAATGTGCACGTACAATTCTAAGGTATAATAACATTTGGTGTTGGTCTAATATACCACAAATATAATAAATTATAGTTCAAATAAAATGACAAAAAATGAACAAATAATTTTTAGGTTGAGGCATGGATATCTCGTTTTCTTTAAGAAGATTCATGTTGAATGCGGCATAATCCACACGGATCCAATAGTATCACTCTTGACTTGTCTCCTCCAGGATACAACAGCCCAACAATGTGTACAACTCAAGCAACTCCTGAACATATTAGATATCAATAATCCTTTCTTCACCTCATATCACATCTAAATAAACTTTGTTATGTACCACGAGATGTGTTGTAAGCCCTCCACAATCTTTGTTATCCATCAAGAGACTAAAACATCAACAAGCTCGGAGTTTGTTGACTTCCAAGAGCTATTAAGGAAAACAACAAAGAGACACTAGCAGTAACTTCACACAAATGTCATCATCCTAAAGTTTCTCTCACAAGAAAATGAATGACAGCATAAATATGGTACAGTCAATCTCTCAGACAATGTTGCTCGGATTATCTAGGTGGCCATTATTTTGGGGGTTATCTCCTCCAAGTATGCTAGATTTATGGACTTTTGACATCTTTAACCTCCCTAATGATTTACCTGCAATGGCTTACATATCATATCCCCGGGAATTGATGTTATCGAACAATCATATTATGAGCATAACCTCAAGCAATTATATGCAATTGAACAGTCTAATTATGAGCATAACCTCAAGTAAAAGCATTAAACAACACTGTAAGCCTCATATAGCTACAGATTATTTGCTTAAATAAAGTAGTGGGAACCATTTTCTTCCAAGTAAAAAAAACAGAGAGAGAACCATGTCCGTATCATAGAATCTTGCGACATTCAAAACACATATGCAATGTCTAGAGTGCAACAATCAAAGGATTCTAACAAACCAAACAGCTGCACATCATAACATTTGGACTACCACAAGTTCAAAATTGTATTTGCATTAAATAAAAAGCTAAAATATGAGGTAAACATTTCTAGTATGCCGAAACAACACAACTTCCAGTATGGTCATGCTAAGCTAACTCTTGGTACATAATCACAAAATTTGTTGATAATCTTGGACTGTCTAACAATTTCTTAGCCAACTGTGATAAATGCCGGGACACACAGTTCTCTGAACAAGTGGAGCATTTTCTTCTCTTTGCTACGATAACAAGTTTCTGCAAAGCCACTGCATTCTTTAGTAGAAAGTTAGAAAGTTCAATAAGCTTACAAAAGCCTTCTTCAGACCACCTTTTCAAACATCTTGTTCCACAGCCGACAATCTTAACATTCTTGAGATTGGGAAACACCGTGTTTGGAATCCAACTCGGCAAATTGATGTTATCTACTTCAGCGAAATAGCTTTGCTCAAGCTAGCAGGGGGGATCGCAATACTGGAACAAACAATAAAATCAGGATCCAAGGCAGGTCTACAGTCATATGGAAATAGTCCATAGAAGACTTTAATGATCTCAAAGTAGAACAATTCTCAAAACACATAAATGCTGAGTAGTTCTCAGCAAATGATCATAATAGCAAATACCTATCAGAAACACACGTACAGTACATAAACCGCGCAAAAAGAGGTTTAATTGTCAATGATCATTTTCTTTCTTGAGCCCGTTTACTGAATAGAAAGCAACAACCTTAACCATTTTTGTTCTAAAATGACGAAATATTTTTAATGATATTATATTACCATTCTCCTTAAGAAACTCCTTTGGAGGGAATTAAGGGGGTTTAGAACTTCAAAAAGTGAATGAATGTAAAAAGAAGAGCATAAATAGAAAAAAATTGTGACCTCATATGTGATGTTTATGTTGAGCGACTCCAAAAGAGGCGAGGTTTGCAAAAGACTGGCTATTCCATACAGATTATACTCTGATACACGCAACTCTAGAGTTAGACATTTGCATCGCAATTCTGGAAGCATCACTCCTTCAAGTTTCATCATGAACACGACCTGGTGAAATAATCTCAAAGAAATTAGTGGAGTGTAGAGAAAGAACCAACTAGAAAGAAAGAGTAGTCCACAACAAAAAGATAGTGCTATGACAAATCTAACCATCCAAACACTCGAGGGCAAAAGCTTAGTTTCTAAAATAATCTATTGCCAGTTAGAAATATTCCCTCCGTTTCAATTTGTTTGTCCGGTTTTGACTTGGCACAGAGTTAAAGAAAGTAAATAAGACTTTTGAATTTTGTGGTCCTAAACTAAAGATACGTAGAATGTACCAAAATATTCTTTAATCTTATGGTCTTAAACATGTCACGTGGAAAATTAGAATTAAAAAGTTGTCAAAAACGAAAGAGACATTCTTTTTTAACGGACTAAAAAGAGAAGTAAGATAAACAAATTGAGAAAATAAACATGATGATGATAAAAGTAACAAAAGGTGAAATTCTCATGTTTGCAAAAATTTATAATTGTATGATATTCTAAAGACTCCACTTTCTTAGGCTTACATCCAGCAATTCTTTGCTAAAAATCAAATAGAGAAGACGTGAATAGAAACAAACCTCTGCAAACCAACATCCAATTATTAGCTCAGTTGCGTAACTCAACTTTTGAAGATAGTCTAGAATAAGGTTTCTGATAACTTGGTGATAATCACGACAACTGTCTTCCTTAATATCCTCTTTGTTCCAGTAGTCAGTGATACAACAGATGCTAAAAGCGAGTCTGGCAATAACCAAAGAGGAGATATTTACTAGCATACACTTGAAATCTCCAAGTTCTCCTGAAATATCCAAATGCTTAAGATGTGGGGCAAAAATTTCCAAAGAATCATATTCTCCATTCAGAGGCTCTGAAGGGTATGTCAACGTTAGTCTCTTTAAATTAGAAGAAGTAATTTCTATACGACGACAAACCTTGCAAAACGACAGCTCCAAAGTTTCCAAAGCAGGACAACTTGACAGTAATATCACAATATCATCAGCTTCTAACTCTATTGAGTCCAAAGTTAGGCTCTTTAGAGAGTTCCAAGCTATGTTCAATCCTTTATCAAACACCCAATGGCTCAAATACAATGTAATCAATGACGAACAAGTGTACATAGTTAAAGGCAATTCATAAGCGAGTTCGTCAGCACTTGGATAAAAATATAAGTGTGCATCTAACGAAACATCTTCTACTTTGTTTTCCACAGCAAAATTGAGCCATTGGCTGATTTCCGAATGAAATTTCCAGTCTGTATGATGAAAATCGAGTTGGAATTTTTTGATTTTGGAACAAGTTGAATGAGTTAAAACGTTGTCCACAAAGGATATGAAGTTTTCGAGTTTGTTGTAATTTCTATTACTGAAAAGGAAAGTATGAATTGAAGTCCAGAGATAACGCCACCTCTTTGAGAGAACACATGATTTGACGGCATCTTCGGTCGGCAAAAGAGAGAGAATTTGTACCAGGAGAACGTCCGGCGACTCACTGATACGATCTAGGGTTTCGACTCCATCTCCGGGGACTCTGTTCTTTTGTTTCTTCGACATTGAATCTCTCAAATTTGCTGAAATGGAGCGAAGCTACGAGAAAGGGTTTTGGGTAGAGCATTCAATATAGACTAGGCCCGTTGGGTTGTTCTGATCTAACTCGTGATTTGATAGAATTAAATTATAATTTTTTATGCCCATTTATGAAAAGGGTTTTTTAGCAATAAGTCTATCGATTTGTGCGACTTGACAAATATGGATAGGGCCGACTCGTGGACCAAATAAATATTAATATAAAAATAAAAATAAAATAGAGTATTAAAAATAACAAGAGTCTAAATTCAATATTTGTTTAAAGTTTAAAATATGCAGAATGGTTTGGGAGATCCTTGTACTTGATTATGTTTGTATGTTGGACCCTTATACTTACGACTTTGTCAACTGGACCCTTGAACTCGATAAAACATAATAACTTAAACACTTCTGACCATTGACTGAACACATGTGGCATTAATATTGCTGACTTGGAACGATGCGTAATTCCACGCGTTTTAAAGCAAGTATGTATAAAATTAATATGAAAAAAACATTAAAAAAATAAAATGAAAACAACAAAAAAAAAAGGAGGGGGAAGTCTTCAAAGCCCCCACCCCAACAAAATTTCTTATACCCATTCCACTTCTTTCCTTCTTTCTTTGGATTCACCCATCATTTCCCTTGTTCTTTTTCTTAACACCCCCACATACTGTCCCACCCCTAAATATTTTCTCAAAGTTCATTCTTTTTGCTGCAAATCAATTTTCCTCCTAGTTCTTTTCGTTTTGCCATGTTTGTTTTTTCAAGATTTCGTGCGTATCTTTTGGTGATAGTGGGTATTGAAAAATGAAAAACTTCATTGATAAGCTTGATGAAGCTTCAAAAATAACAAATGGGTTTTGTGAATTTATAAAATAAATTTAAAATTGTATAGAGATTTGTTGGGTTTGTGAACCAATAATGTAAAATTCAAGTCAAATTGGTAAGAATTCTACCCATTTGAAATGAATTTGTGCTCAATTTGAGAGCAAAAATGGAGAAAATAATAAAAGTTACAGGGTATGCTTTTTTTATAGATAAATAACTCAATTAAATAGCCAGCATAGTCAAAATAGTAATTGTGATCAAAATTATTGCTCAAAATAGCTGTGTAGCTCATGTCCTGATATTTTCCAAAATAAGCTTAGAAATTTCTAAAACAAGTAGCCCCTACAAGAGCTATGTAAGCAAATGAAATAACGCATATTAAGTGTTGGTAGCCCTGGTGTAGATCTGCTGGCTAGCATGAGCAGACACCATCCTGATTGAACCTCTAGCCATCAAATCTTCCTAGCAAGTGATCCACTAATCCTGAGACGATCGGAGAGGACAGAAGGAGTGATAAGCTTATACTTAGGAGCTTCAGAGAGTAGCTTATCGTATGTCGACTTGTCGAACAACACCATGTTGTTCACCTTTTCCTTTTGCTCTCCCTTGCTCCACTTCTTCTTCTTCTTCTGCTTTCCACCGCCGGACTTTGCTGGCTTGGAAGATGGAGGTGGAGCTTGTGCCTTCTTTGGAGCCATTGATCGGAGAACGATGAACGGAGGAGAGCGGCGGAGTTAGAGGCAGAAATGTGATGGGGGATATGGCGATATGGCTTTTATTTTTATTTTATTTGTCTAATCTTTAATTTCTTATGTGTCATTAAAAATGACGTGGAATCCTACGTGTAAATAAGTGTATCACACGCGCACACATAGGATCAGGAAAGGGTTTAAAATACTATCTTTCAGTGAGTTTAAGGCTTTAGTTGACAAAATCGTAAGTATAAGGGTCCAACTTACAAACAGAGCCAAGTATAAGGGCTTACCAGGTCATTCCGCCTTTAAAATATTAGTACAATTTAAATACAAATTATGTTTATAAAATATATATTACATAAAATAAAAATTCTCTAAAACTTCTAGATAATCACTACATAGGTCATAGTCTATGGAATATTGTCATAGTTTTTATATTTTATTATGATCACTGAAAAACAATTAGGTTAATATTATTATTTAGCTATTTATGTTTTTACTTGAAATCAAACTTAATAAATATTATAAAGATAATTTTATGAGCCCTAATTTTATTTGTGTATTTGATTAACAAATAGTAACCCTAACACCATGTAATATTGTCTCGTCAATATTTATGATAGTATTTTTAAATTATAATTTAATTTAAAAGATTATTAAAAATATACTTTTAAGAAAAAAGTGTTGGGTCGGAAAAATCCGTAGCTCACATACTTGTGGACTGGATCATCATTTTCTGGCGCATACAAAAAATAGATCAGCCCAGCTGGCCCATCCAATATTAAAGCTTGTTTGGGTTGGGCTGAATGGAGTGGACCAACCATATTAACATCTCTAGTTTTGGGAATTTCGAATGAGTAAAGTAATTAAGAATTAGAAATTTCAAAGAGAAAATACATAAATTCCCCCCTGAATTTGTCTGCACAACTTACTTTAACACTTTAACTATATGGGTGTTTGTTTATCCCCCTAATTTAATTTGAAGTGAATTTAATTACCCCTTAAAGGGTGACGTGGCAAAATTTGTATCACCAACTTTCTATAAGCGCGTGAGACAGAAAAAAACCAAAAAAATTGACACATGTCATCTTTTTATTGAACGACATATTTAATAACTTATTTTACTAATTTTTAAACATTTTATTTTTTAATTAACTTCTCTTCTCTGTAGTTTTTTTTTTTTTTTTTTGTCTATCTTTCTTCTTCCTTTCTTTTTCTTTTCTCAAGACTCTTTCTCTTTCTTATTCTTTTCATTCAGTTCAAGGTAAACATTTACTCATTTACTCCCAACTGTAACTTTTTTCACATTTTTTCTTCTTCTTTTCTTTTCTGTTTTTCTTTGACAAAAATTTTTGGTGTTTGATTCATTGACACCATTTTCGACATCAAAAAAGATTATTAGATCTATGAGTTTAAAGAGTTATCAAAAAAAGAACCCAATTTCCACTAAAAAAAATTCAAAAATATTGTTGGCAAAAAATTGATTGTGGAGATTTCGTCCAATTCATTGATAAATTAACATTTTTATGTAAATAATTTTTTTAATTTTCGAGGAAGGTGGTATGATGTAACTAAAAACTGAATTGGATTTGCAATTGAAATTTGAATTATAATTTGTAGATTGAGGGGTAAATTCATCGATGGGTTTAGTTTTTGGCTCAATTTTTAGATATAATCATGGTGGGTGTAGGAGTTGTTGGTTTAATGTGGAAATTGATGTCTACAAATGGAATATTGAAACCTATTTTCTTACGAAAAGAAAGAAAATTGGAGTAAGTTTTTTTTTTTTACATAAAGAGAAAATTATTATATAATGGAAGAAGAAAAGTTGAAGAAAATTGCACTGTAAAAAGAAGAGTTGTTGTTGAGAAGGTGACAAATATTGGGGAAGACAATTAGTGATGAAAAAAAAATTATTATGAAGATTTAAGTAATTAATTAGAAATTTAATTAATATACACGTGGACGAATAAAAATGTGTGTGACTCAACAACACCCAACTGGGCTAGTGATGGGTGGGTTGAAAAAAAACACTTAAAAGATGTTAAGGGGGGTATTTAAACACCTGTATAGTTAAAGTGCTAAAGTAAGTTATGCGGACAAGTTCAGGAGGGATTTTATGTCTTTTCCCAATTTCAAAATTTAATCCATTGGGACAATTATGTGGTTGAAGCTACAAAATAAAAGTAATAAAAAAATTATTGAGCTATTTCAAAAAATGACTCTTTAGTTTGAGTTTTTTTATTAATTAGTAATAATTCATGGTTATAGACTTATAGTCTGGGACTCTGGGTATTTATCATTTATAGTAACTGTTAGAGATGTTAGGCAAAAAAAAAAAGGTGTCATGTGAGTATATTCACTGTATTCATATACATATTTAGGTTGTGAATATAGGTTGTATAGACGAATATTGTTCGATGTATACAAACATAAGCAACAACAAATACATGGTTTTTATGTATTCGCACTCTAATTTAACTTGTATTTATTTGCTCTTGTATCATTTGTATTCATTTGCTCTAATTTCACTTATATTTATTCACTTTTATTTTATTTGTATTCATACGTGTATTTAGACTATATTAACCAATACAATCTGGGTGTATACATATAAAGTACAAAAGATATCATGTACTACTCATTTGCTCTAAATTCACTTATACTCAATTCATTTTAATATAAAAATACAACAGAGAAAAAGGGGTAAAATATAGAAATACAGGGGGGAAATGGGAAAAGGCCGATAGGGGCATAAAGAGATAAGAGACGGGAGAGTAGTGATCAAGATAGGGAGAGAGAGGGGAGAGTAACGATCGAGATAGCGAGAAAGAGGTGAATTAGTAAAATTATCTTTTTATTTATGATTTCTTAAGCACCCTATAAAATAGGAAGTGATCAAAACATTCAACAAAAGCAGAATGAGCTTTCAAAATCGATAATGTAAAGTTGATATTAAATATTGATTTTTTACCCTAAATTAAATTCTTGTACGATAATTCAAATTTATGTATTTAATAAAAAGATATTTTTATAATATTTCATAATATGTCCAGTATTGCTTTTAGCAAAATCACATATAAATGTCATAGATTCTCGCTCTCAAATCCTAACATTATAAATTTGTCAATCAAAATGTGTACTAGTGTTGTATAGTCTGTGGGTACATAGTAGCTAGTGGTGAAAGTGGTTTACAGTAATAGTTAGTGGTGATGAATATTGATAGTGATGGACGATATAAAGTACTAGCGACTATGATGGTGATTGTCAATAGTGATTAATGATACATTGTCATGAATATGATTGATATTAATGATTGTAAATAATGACGAGTGATGATAACTATTAATATCGACAAAGGTGGTGGTGTTAATTAGTTGATAATCGTGGGTGGCAACGAAAACAAAAACATTCATTCACCTGTTGCTTTCATAAAAATTGGTTCACTTTTTACGTATTCCC